TAGCCTTTAAGCCTCTAGGCTTATATTATGTTATGATTACACCCTTCTCCGCGGTGTGTGTAATTTTCATTCGAGCAGTTTCACACTTGTCTCCTGTAGTATTCGTGTAGTTAAACCTATTGAGTTTTTAAATGTGATTTAGCAACTGCCAGTAATTTATATGGTGCTCATAAGCATGATTTACCAGCATGTACACTCATCTGCATTGATTTACTTACTGTTGTGTCACATTAATTAACATGAGTATTGGTGGTCTAAATAATGGCAGTTAAAGTGAAACCAGGTCCAGATGTGCCTAACTAGTCCTGAATTGCAACTATAATTGTATAGTTTAAATATAATTTGTGGTTACGATCTAAGGAAAGTAGAATGCTTCCTTCCATCTGACAATTTGCATGTTGCAACTAAATAGTGTAGTCGGTATTTATTAATTTATTATTTTAGCCCATTATGTCGAAAAAAGAAAGTGGGGCACAGGGATGCAAAAGACGTGCACAATTTGTAGCTTCGATGGTGGAGTCAAGCAAATTGATGAGAGCTTTCCTTGCTGGAAGTGATGACACCAGTGAGCCAGCATCTGTTCCTTTTGATGGCAGCATAGAGGTCAAAGTGCAAGATTGTGAACATGCTATTTCATTTTCAAAAGAAAAAATTAAGAAACTGTTCTCTGTCCTGTTGAGAGCTACAATAATAATAAACAAGAGTTTTCCACTTTGTCAGAAACAAATCCACAGAATAGTGTTGCTAAGCTAAAAGAGGATGGCCTAATAAATATTTTAACACAGCAGTTGTAACACATGCACATCACACAGAGATTGTTAAAGTTGGAGCACGTGAATTTCAACATAAAGAAGTTCCATTTGATGCCAAAGATGGGCGTTCTATGATTGCATTTTGGTTCAAACGATGCCTTCTGAATAGACAAGAGGTCAATCGTTTCTGGTTGGTGTATACACCTCTACATAAAGCAGCATACTGCTTTTGTTGTCTTCTTTTTTCAATCTACATGTATGACAACCGATAGTCGGTCTGCTTTCAAAACACAGGGTGGATTCTCTAAGTGGAAAAAAATTTAAAAGTTAAATGCCCATGAAAATAGTGACAGTCATCGTGAGTCATTTGCTGCTTGGAAAGAAACTGAGCGCCGAATTCGTCTCCAAAGTGGCATTGATGAAGAGCTGCAAAGGTAAATTCAGCAAGAAAAAATAAACGGAGAGATGCACTACGATGTTTGCTGGAAAATCTGAATGAATTGCTAGGACTGTTAGAGCAATTAAGTGAGAATTGCAACACGACTGAAACAAAATATGGTGCTCATAATATTCTGCAACGCATGCTTACATTTGATTTTCTTGTATTTTTGCATTTTTGGA